CACGAGGGCTATCTGCGCTAGCTGTTCCTAATTTGGCAGTGTAAGACTAGAGGGAAGGCAGCTAGTCATCTCCACCCACCACCAACTCTTGGGCTACTCTTTTACCAACGAATAGTGGGATTGCCTATCACATTATAACGCCCCCACGGCTGAAAGGGCGAGCATGTTTGGTGTGATGGGGATTCGAACCCGCGAGTCGAGCACCTTAACCACCTGGCCATGCCGGGCCGCATTTCGTGGTGATACCGAAGAAGTAAATTCTTTCAAAAATCCTGGCAATTTTCTGCCCTTGCTGAAAATCATGAAATACTGAGAGCTCATTTGTATCATCCCAAGGCAGAAAATGCTACATATTTATCTCCCCGCTCAAAGTCATAGAATATGATGTAATTCGAGTTAAAATTATTGATGAATTAAAAAAGCTGGATTCTACTTTGTTCCTTTTGATGAAGTTTCTTCTCAAAATGTGGAACATTTACCAATATATCTCTGCTTTGTAGATAACAATCGTGAAATTAGGATGGAATTTATCGGCTTTGTTAAGCTACAGAGGATCAGAACAACAGGTATTATATGTGCAATTACAAATATATTGACTGATGTTGGATTATCTCTAAACGAATTGCGTGGTGAAGGATATGGTGGAGAATCTATCATGGCTGGCGAAAGATCTGGTGTCCAAAAATAAATTCGAGATATGCAAAGCAAGACCTTATGCACTCATTACGCGGTCACTCACTTAACCTTACTATTATAAATTCATATTCAGTTCCACTAATACGAAATTTTATTGACCAAGTTAACAATTTGCATTAAAGCCTCACCTAAACGTGGGGAACTATTAAAGGCAATCTATCAAAAGGGCATCCAGCATGGAGCAGCTTCGTCACGTCTTCCACTACTCAATGTGTGCGTTACACACTTGGTTGAGAATATTGAAGGTTGGGAAAGATTATATTTGTTTCATCCACTCTTATTTCACATGTGTGAGGTTATTGTGTATGGAGATGATAATTTTGATTTTGTTTAATGAGAACTGAGAGGTAAAGATAAGAAAAATGATATGGCTTATTTAAAATTACTGGAATCCTTTGAATTCATTTTTGATTAACAGCTTTACAACGTTCCCTTTACTATTTGGAGGAAGCTTCTGTAAATTTGCAATGTCCAAGCCAAGACATTGTTTCTGGCGTTTCCCTAATATTACAATGTTATAAAGAACTGAATTCACTAAGAATGAACGTAGATATTTATTTGCATCGTTTCTTCAAGCACAGCAGTCATATTCCAAACAAAGTTAATATTAATGCTAGCATGTCACGAGTAAATCAACGACAAGCCCAACATGCAAATACAGAATATAGTTCCGTGGAGGATTACTTTAAGAAAACAGTAAATATTCTTTTTTAGACCCCATTATCAGTAATCTTTCCTCCAGACTTGATGCACATGTAAAGTAAGCAGCATCAGTTCAGAAACTCACACGAGAGTTTTCTATCTCTGATATCAGACAGGCTATAAATGTTTACAGAAAAGATTTGCCAACCCTTAATATTTTTGTTGAAGAAGTTCATTGATGGAAGACAAGGTGGTTTCTACATCTCTCCAGTATAGACCCCAGATACTAGCTAACTGATTAAAAGTGTGTTTCAATGTACCAAATATCATTATGTTACTGAAAATATTTGCCACACTGTCACTAAGTTTATGTTCATGTGAACGTTCAGCATATACTCTCTGCAGGTTGAATAATTACTTAAGGTGTACACAACCCGAAGAAAGACTGAGTGCTATAGCTTTAATGCATATTCATTAGGACACTGCTATCAACATTGAAACTGTATGCAAGTTTTACATGGAAAAACACTCAGAATAATGAGGCATGCTAACATATTATTTCAGTAGTGCATACATGTACGTAAATGACAGCCAATGATTGAAATAACTAATATACTATTGTTGTAAAGAGTTGTTTAAGTAAAGTAACATTATTTAACAATTAATAACTGCTCTGTATGTAGATAGTACAATACCTTACTATAATAAAACATACATGTTTATGTTAATTTAAGTCTAGCTCTCCATGCAGTGTTACAATAGAATTGTTACGACAGCGGAAGTCACGTGACTCTGGTAACACGTAGTGAGTTCTAGAAAGATCGGGGAACATCACAAATAATCCAGTATTTGCTAGGCGCCCTCTATTCTTGTATATAAGTGTGCCAGACAATTAATCGGAATTGAATTGTAGACAGGCAGAGATAGATATGGACAATTGAGTCAAGCGCGGTAGTAAGTAACGTGTGTGAATCGTTCGTTGTGAATTATAGCGTGTGTTTAAGTTAAAGTGACTGTGGAAATTAAGTGTATTGCAAAGTTGAATTGAGAAAGAATAAACTAGTTTTATTTAAGAAAGGACTTGTGTCGCTAAAGTTTCATAGGAAAGAAATTATACGGGAAATTAACTAACGACAGAAGTGTTGTTCGAGCTCAGAGTCACTTCCATCATTATATATATAATTTCAAACAAAAAAATATATTCCAGACAGGCTATTAAACATTAAAGTGACTGGTAAATTTTCATAATTCGGCAGGTCAAATAACAAATTAGCTCCATAATCTAAAGGAGTGCAGCTTTAACATTGTGCATCATTCTAGATGGAAATATGAAATTGCTAAAACGTTACCCCAAAGACAATGTTTTAAGATGAGTGTAAACTGCAAGAAAGAGGAAGCATGGGATAGTAAAGACTACCAACCTAAAGCACAGTGATGGTTGAGAACTGATGTGGTCCAACACTCAACTGAAAGCTGTTCAGACAAAAGATATGAGTTTGAAACCAATTGTGCAGTTGCTCAAAAATAGTACAGAAAGACCATCTTGGCAAACAGACTCTCAGACCTCCATATACTCCGAAAACAAAGGAATATTGGGCATAATATGATTCCTTATGCTTGCAAGAGGGCTTATTATGTTGGAAAAGGAAAAATACCAGTGGACAGAAGCAGTAGCTATAGTTGGCATTTCCTCAGTCTCTACATTGTGAAGCAGTTCATTACCTCCAAAACTTCCCATTGGCTGGACAGTTGGGTCTTAAGAAGACAGTGCAGTGTCTAAAAATGCTTCTACTGAGTTAGGTGCCGAGGTCTGCAGATAATTGTTGTAAAACGTGAGCTCTGCTGTGAGAAAAACATTCAATAAAAACAGCATGGGTAGCTACAGCAGTATCGTGTTGAAGGACTACTGGAGAGGGTTGGTGTGGTTAACCCCTGCCACTGTATAACACTGTGAATAAATACATCATGATTGTGGTGGATTATTCCACCAAATGGTTTGGAGAAGCTCTTGTGAAGAAACTCGTCAACAAATTTCTTTAAAGATTTTCCATACCAATGGAACTTCACTCAGATCAGTTATGGAACTTTGATTCAGACTTATTTGAGGAAATATGTCTGATTTTTGGGATTAAAAAGTCCGAGATAACAGCCCTTCATCCATCTTCTGACATAATCGAGAAGGGATAAAACTGGAATTATTCATGTATGTGAATGAACATCAGAAAACACAGAATCAAGATCTTCCATTGTTACTGATGAGTTGTCACACAACAGTAATGAAGCCACCAGCAATGCACCATCAGCAAGTCCAGAAAGTTGTTAAAATGAACTTGTTCTAGTTACTTTGCGTCTTTGTTCTGTATAGTAGGTAATGTATATTCTGCCTAAGAGGATGTTACAATCAAATATATCATCCAAGTTAAAATGATTGGCACTGAGATATTCTTCGCTGGCCGAATATGATGTTGACTAAATGCAACAGCTGATCAGTGATATTATAGAACAAAGATCACTAAGTCACACTGTCAACTAGACAAAAAAGAAGAAGCAAGTTTACTTGTTGAATTCAGGCACGCTTTTTTAGCCAATTCTACTTTGTTTTCAACGTGATTTGTTCGGCAGATATTCATTTTTAGATACTGAAAGCTGACGAGCTATTCATTGATCCAGTAGAAGCAATCGTCTAAGCAGGTATGCACATTGTTTTTTGTTGTTGTGTCTAAATAAATATTATTTTCATTGCCTTTCAAATGTGTTTAATCTGTTTCCTTTTTATGCAACATAAAACTCAGTCAAGCTATTAACTACAGAACTTATTTCTTGATCGAATGTGCTGTTATTTACTGGTTTGCCTATCTGTAAATATCACAAGTGGAAGTTGTTTGAAACTACATTTCTCAGTTGTTCAGAGAGCCGGACTGTGGACATTGACGGTTAGATCCCACTATTCGGTCTTACAAAAGTAGCGCAAAAGTTGGCGGTGGGTGATGATGACTAGTTGCCTTCCATTTAGTCTATCACTTGAAAATTAGAACGGCCAGCGCAAATATCCCTTGCGTAGCTTTGATCGAAGTTTCATCAAAACATACAGTTAGTTATAGTAGGAGTTTTGTTATATAATGTGAACTTATCTACTGGAAGGTGGAGAAAGCCCCGAGTGATAAGTTGAATAAGGCCGAGTACTTTAAACCTCCTTTCCCCTTTTCCGAATGAAATAAAAACAGTTTTCATCAGAACACACTATTTATCATTGGCCTAGTTGAGCTGATGAAGGCTGATACTACATTTCTCAACTGGTCATGATATGGATTATGATACCTAATTTGTTTTTAAACGGCTCCATGTTACAATTTGCCTATTTAATGGTGGAAAAGTTGTTTGTAAGACACATAATGTAGATAAATTTTCATGTAGAATTATACACGGACCGTTCTCTACGTTAAAACACTTTTCGTTTAATTGCGAGTTTTCAGCTCCCTTACCGGAGCTTTAATCAGGCAACAATGCACCGAGAATGTTGCTAAATTAAGCTGTAAAGTTGAATATCTCTAAAATATCTTTCACAATGAAAGAGTTTAAAGGTGTTTATATACATGAAAAATATAGCAAAACAAAATAGTTTTTCTTTCTTTTTCTTATCAGTTGGCCATCTCCCTCTATCATATATAATAAGCAAAAAGTGTGAGAGGGAGTTTTCTAGTCCCAGCTGACAAAAATGGATCAGTATGAACGTGTACTACTGATAAAACAAGAAGTATTTATTTACAAAATACCCCCACGAACTTCGAATCGAGGTTTCAGGTATTTATTTTGATATATCTCTACTAATAAGGCATATAATTAACTAACGATATTTTATTATTAGTTTAAAGGAGTATGAATGAACTTGTATTAACTACCTATACTTAGTAGTAGTACTACTACTAGTAGCATTAGTACTAATAATGAGTAATATATATTAACACTATAAATACTAATAGTGATAGTACTACTACTGAGTACTGGTAGTAGTAGTAGTATTAGTATTAAAAGGGGTGAAATTCTCAACAGAAAAAAGTAGAAGTACTTGGCTAAGTGAAGTGGATCTGTTTTTGAAAAAGAAAATCTACGTATAAGCATAAAAAAAACAAACGACAAAGCCGCTCAAATATGTCCCGGTACTATTACTACTATTAGTACCGCCTTAAAATTGTTCCGGTACTCAGTACCGGTAACTAATGGCATAATTAATTAGTTTCATCCATGAGTATTACAGATGGCTTTAGTTTAAGTCTTTTCAAATTTGAGGCTGAACTACAGGGGTCGTCTAATAAATTTTAAACAGCGTCCAAGGATAAAAAAAAAATAATGAAAATGAAATATTAACAAAAGTTCAAGTATGATAGTGTTACATAAATTGATAAAAAGAGATTGAATCTTTTAAGTAATTTATCAAAAATTTCTTTTTCACTTTATAATTGTTGGGAATCGACTTATGAATTTCCTAAAAATGAAAAGTCTTTCAAGTTTAAGCTGATTTTGGGTTTCATTAGGCAGCGATACTGATAGTATTTTTATTGATGTAAATTTTCCCATTGTACCTGTAAAGTGTTGTAACTTGTATGTATTTATCAACTTTATTTTCTCTGTATTTTGTAGTGTTTTTAATCTTTTAAAATTTTTGAAATTGTATATATCATTTGATTGTGCATATTGGACATGTGTACTTGGAGAATTTTATTACTCTTATTTTATTAATTGGCACATGTTTTATTGGAGGAAACATGTCAAAATTGACACTTCTTATGGTGCCACTATAGTATAAAGTACATTTATACAAGTGTCATATTAAATTATTTTATGAAAGTAACTTGTAGTATTTTAAAGGAAAAATCAAAGGTCAGTGAAACATAAAAAATCTAAATTTACTGATGATACAAAAATTGATGCCATAGTATATGCACCATCAAAATATATATAAAATAAAAAAAACATTAAATAAGTGATAAAAGATATGTAAAGGATGAATAAATACAAGAGAAAATATTTTGATGGGTTAATATATAGCAATCAAAATGCTATTACTACCTCATTAGACTCAACCTTAGTTGAAAGTTTCCAGTACATTAGTAAGTTAACTCTCAGAGAATTATTCAGTAAGAAGTAAATTTTTCTTAAGTCACTTAATCTCATTGAGTTTTCTTACAAAACTTTTAATTCTTTCTAATTTATCTATAAGTGCTTTAAAAAAAAAATATTTGAGGTTCTTTATATGCTTTCTACACCAGTGTTTCCCAAATTGTGGTCTGAGACCCAGTATTGGTCCATGAAAAAAAAAATGCCGGTCTGCAGAAAACTAAAAAATAATTAAATTAATTTTAACCCTTTCACTACCAATCGCCATTTTAAACTTTCTCCAAGCCATTGTTGTGTATTAAAGAAAAATGTAAAAAAACAGTTTATATAAATATATACTAATAAGATTAATATTTTCAAATACATTATAATTTAGATTTTTATTTCATATAACTTGGATTTCTCAGTATCTCATTTAAGCTAATATAACAGGAAAGAAAAGTGAAAGTTTGTAATTAAGGCTATGGATCTATAGAATTTGCAAGTTGACGGCTGCCTTTATACCCTAAGTCCCTCAGGAATTAAGGTGTTCTCACTTAGTGCAATTTAGAGAGCCTCAGATTAAGTTTTACAGTGTAGATAACCTTGAGATTTTTATGAAATGCTGTAAATTTAAATCACATATCTGCAGGTAAGATCAAAGAAGGGATTTTGTCTCACATAAAAGGACCATTTGTTCATTCAAGTTAATTGGTTCTTCGACACCAAAGTTTTAGGAATTTTGTTCCAAATGTGTTCAATTTGCTTACTCTGTTAATGGAAATTGACAGGCATATGAGACCTGAGTCTTATGTCTGGTATTGCCAGGTGGCAACAGACAAGTTGCTGGTGGCCAGTGATAGAAGCGTCAATTTGTTCTGAGAAGAGAGAGAATTGTTTGTGACTTAGTTTGTACTAAGTAAATATTTTTTAAGTTGTTCATTATTAAGAGAACCCCTCTCCAATATGGACAGGTGGCTGAAGAAATATGCATCACATAAGAAAACCTAAAGTGATATGCCTAGTTCCAGTGAAACTGAAGTTAGTGAAAATAATAGACCTAATTATAAAAGTGATGTACAGCTTATTATCAAAGGAAAAGAAAACAAAGACTTCTTGGACTCAACAGTATTGTGATGAATATTTGAAGTATGGTTTTATAAGTGGTGGTAGCAATAATGATTTGCCACTGTGTGTTCTTTGATGTTCAACATTATCAAATGAGAGCATAAAACCATCAAAACTGAAATGCCACTTGGATACCAGACATCCAGAATACTTGAGTAAGCCAATAGATTTGTTCATAAATAAGAAAAATGAAATAGTTTTTTCAAACAAATAATTTCACACACTTTTTCCACAAGATCTTCCAATAAAGACTTGGTTATGGCCTCATATGAAATTTCAAAACTAATAGCTGAGACAGATTATCCGCATACTATTGGTGAAACGTTAATACTTCCTGCAGTAAAAATAATTACATCTAGTGTTTATAAAAAACAAGAAAATCAGTTAAATTTACTGTCCTTATATAATAATACAGTGAAGCATAGAATTGTGAATATGGAAAAAATATTGAAGAAACTCTTGTACGTCAAATTCACTGTAGTCAGTTTTTCATTTCAAGTGGATGAAAGCACAGACATAGTAGGTAATGCCAGTTTAATGTGCTTTGTGAGATATGATTATAAGGACAAAATTTGTGAAGATTTATTGTTTTATAAACTCTGCAAGAATGTGTAAAATTCATAGATTATATAAAATCTCATTCATTGAATTCCAGAATCTTTATACTTTGTGCAAAGAATTAGGAAGTGAATATGAGCATTTCCTATTATACTGTGAAGTTTGATGGTTATCAAAAGGAAATGTCTTAAAAAATACTCAACGAAATGAAGAATGAAGTTATCTTGTTTTTGGAGCAACATCTCCCATCAGCAAAGGATGCAACATTTGAACTTAGAGACAGGTTCATAATTTGCATTGGTTAATTAAGGTGGCCTATTTATGTGACATTTTTGGCTTCATGAAGGCATTAAATCTAAATTTACAAGGTGCTAACATAAATATTTTTAAAGTCCAGGAAAAGATAGAAGCAGCTATAAAAAAAATTAACTTGTGGGTACATCAAGCTGAGAAGAGAAATTATAAGTCTTTCTCTACTTTAATAGAATTACAAAACCAAGTTCAAGAACGTAATATTCCAGATATGATTTCCTTATCAATCAAAGAGCATCTTTTGGGCTAAAATCATGCTTGAAGGAATATTTTCCTCCAATTGACAGCAGTAAAATGTGGATCAGGAACCATTTTACTGTTGACACAGGAAATGAGGAAGGATTACAACTCAGTGAATCAGAAATTAATTCTATT